AGAGAGGGGGGTGGGGGTGGGCTGAGCTGGATCGGAAACAGTATAATGGAAGGGTGTGGGGTTGTGTGATATTCAGGACTTTGATGGATGATATGTTTGTGTATTGAGAGATCGGAGGCTGGCCTGATATGGCGCAGGGGCAAGCTGGTGTTGTTTGTGTTTTATCCGATTTCTGTTCCTTTGTTTGGTTTAGTTTGGTTTGGTTTCGTTAGGTTTGGGGGTTTTTTATATCGTGGGTTTCCATGATGCGTCATGCTACAGAGAAGAAGCGACAGATATAATAAAGATGGGCGTCGGGACAATGGATGAGTTTGAACCGTGTTTTGTCACAGTGCGCTCATGTCTATTTTCAGTGTGTTCACGTATTCATATCAGTACGCTTGCGTGTTTGTATCTCTTTATCTGAATATCATGTTCGTGTGTCTCTTTATGTGTACTCGTGTGTTTGTATCTGTGTTTGTATTAAAATTTGTACGTTTGTGTCTGTATGTTTGCACGTTTATACCAGAGTGTTCGGCTGTGTGTTTGTGTCGGTGTGCTCGTGTGTTAGCATTTGCAGCATGTTTGTATCTGTGTGCTCATGTGTTTTTCAGTATACTTGCATGTTTGTATATGTGTGCTCGTGTGTTTGTGTCTGTGTGTTTGTATCAGTATGCTCATGTATTTGTTGCTATGTGCCCATATAGTTATTATATATGTGTGCTGGCGTGTTCAAATCTGTGTTCAGTTACTTTTTTATTTATGTAGATTAGTTCGATTGGATTGATTTTATAGGGAGCAAGTGCGTGCGCTTGAAATGGATGAAAACACTCACGTGCTAACATTCCATTTCCCTGGCACGTGCACACCTTCTCTCTCACGTACACTCACTCTCGCTTTACTTTCTCTCTCTCCCTCTCTCTCTCTCTCTCTCTCTCTCTCTCTCTCTCTCTCTCTCTCTCTCTCTCTCTCTCTCTCTCTCTTTTTTTTCTCTCTTTCGATGTATGTGTGAAATTTTCTGCTCTATAGTGTGTCGTCAGGAAATACACTAAAAATCTTTCAAATCAAACTCAAAGTTTTAAAAAATACACTACTCACCCGTTGCAAACCTCTCTTGTGGACAAGAGGCATCTGTATATCGTGGTTAGAATAGATAAAACATACAATTAAGGATAAAAATGCCAGGAGAAGTAGCCTCGCACATGCGTCGGTCAAGTTTCTAGGTATGAGGCATCCCATCTTGACACTAGCACGGAGAGATCTCTTCACAGAAATTATGTTCGTCCTCATTTGACGGCTGCGACGTGAAAAGTGACGCTAACAGCCTCTTAATCCCCAAAGCGGGTCGAAAGAAGCAACTAAATATGAATTGGATGGAAAACTCTGATTAGAATTACTCATGTGGTTTTGTCAGCGTTGCGAAAGCGATGTTTTGTAAACACAGATAGTTCTCTTTTACGATTGGACTCTAATTGTTTGTTATGTTTTTCGGTGTTTATTGTTATGAATACATTAAACACTTTCTGCGTATGACGGAGTATAAAAGTTTACAGTACGACTCACTGCTATCTTCTTTTCGTTTGGAGCGTTCAAAAAGGGGGCGATGTGCAGGATGGATTTTCTTTTTTAAATTCTATATTTTTTATTTTAT